AGAATCATATTACATTAGCATTCTGAAATTCTTCCAACTTGCTGGAATCTGTCATTATTATCCACCACCTCCCCCCCCCCCCCCCCCCCCCCCCCCCCCCCCCCCCCCCCCCCCCTCAAAGGTAGTCAATTAAGCGGGGGAAGTACAGTGCAAAAATTACGTTTGTAATTGTGTTTGTGAGAAACACATTCAAAAGGAAGCTGGACCTTTGGTCATTCCAAACGTTTGTATGTTCTCATAGATACTGTCATTGGTTGCAAGATGCGAGATGCTGGTTTCTACTGCCAAGTGGTGCTCAACAACTTTGTACCAAGCTATTGGAGGAGCAACTTCATGGTGAAGAATAGAGTAATACAAGACAGTGGAACACCAGCTTATGTAGACATGAGTGTTTACATAACGACTAGATAGATGCCAGTTGGAGGGAGGGAGCCAGCCACCATCTTGTTATTTTGGTTATAAATTTCATTCTGTAGATTTTAGAAATTAATATTGGATTATTCAACTACCTTTCATTTGTTTTCACTGTATAATTCCACCAGTTTAAAAAGGAAATTATGACTTTAAGTTTGAATATTAAAAAATTGCACAAATTCAGTAGGAATGCAGTTGGTTAGTCTCAGAGAAGTTAGAAGTCATCTTGAAGTAAGTGAATTTTAGCTCCTACTGCAATCCCAAGTAAATATCTGAACAATATCACAAGCAAGTACTAGTTGCAATCTCTAGATGATCTATACACCAAAGTTATAGCTCAGAGATCACCGATTTTCAGACTGAATGGAGAGCTAAAATGAATGCAACAAATGAAGACTAGGCCAGTTATGGAGGGAAAACAATAACTAAATGCTTTGCAAACTGACTCAGGATATGATTAACAAGATGGGCCACAAAAGAAGCACAAAAATCTTGCTAAATGTAATGGTGACACATAAAGCAAACATCATACAGATTGCTCTCAGCAGTATCATTGTTCTGCATTTCAAAATCTGTTAATAACTTGCAGTTAAAAGACATCACATGATCATCAGCCATGATGGTAAAAATTTAAGCTGCATGGCAAAATAATCTTCAGATTTTACTTGAATTTGGAAGCTCCTAAATATTAATTCTCAACCTTCTGCCGTTGAAGTTAAGAATCTCCTGCCTGTTTTGGTAAAACATACTGTAGCTTCAATTTAAGTTCCATCAGGAAATTGCATGTTTTCACTTCAGAATTTGTGTAGTATAGCAATGATTAACTAACCATACTAAAGAAATCACATTTGAGATCTTCAAATATAACCGGATCTCTCCTCCTCCAATCAACAATTCACTCATTAAATTTTCCTCATTAGAAATAAATCTTGTGTCGCTTTGTATGAATTAACTTAAATCATAAAAAGTTTGCTGAACCGTGTCACTGACTTAAGGAAGGCTGTGTGACAGATTTCAATCTGATTCTGGCCAACATCAATCCTGACATGTGCATCCACACAGGGCTAACAATTTAAGGCACAGGGCTCATTGGGCAGCAGCTTTACCTGTAGCCCAGACGTGCTGAGCTAATGGGGGATGTCATGTGATACAGTTTTGTTTTGAAAGGCCAAAGTTTGGAAGTTGTCCTGCCTAAAGTTGTTCTTACTTTAAATACTAATCAGCAGCATGAAGATAAAATGCTGTCATTGCTTTTACGTACAGGATGCTTACAGAGGAACATTCAGAACATATAACTCAATATGCTATCAATAACAATAAACTAATAATAATTACAACATTTATGTAATTCAGCAGGGAGAGAACTTGTTAATCTACTTACCAGAAGAGGGAGGAGTAGATCGCCTAGAACTAGGCACAACATCACCTAAACTGGAAGATGAATTTCCACCTGATTTACTAGAAGAGACAGATACAAATTAAATTTAATGATATTACTATCAATGACACAACTAAACAACAATAAAAATAACCAACTTCCATCAACTCGAATTCTTTGGACCCTCTGCTTAACTGTTCCAGATCTTTTCAATAGTTTGTCGCTCTTATTTTTACTGCCATCACTACACTTAATAGTACTACAAATACTTCTCTGCAAATCATTTCTGAATGATGAGAGTAGTAGGGAACACAGAAAATTCAAGGATAAAAAAGATTTACAAGGGTAGATGCAGAACTGAGAAGTTATATTCATCAAGAAAGATTAAACAGATTGGGACACTCTTGTCTTGAACAAATCTGGGGGGTGACCTGTTAAAAACCTTAAAGACCACGAAAGGCTTTGACAGGGGAGAATAAAGAAGGTGGTTCCACTTGTAAAGGATATAAACACTAGGGGACATACATGTATGATATTCATGAATAAAATCAATTTTAAAAAATAAGGAGAAGCTCCTTCATCAAGAAAGAGGGAGTGAACAGAATGTGTAACTCTCTGCAACAAGCAACAATCAGAGCTAAAAGCAGAGATATCTTTAACAAGAAACTAGATAAGCATATGTGGAAGATCAGAAAAATACACTAACCATTAAATGGGAAAGGGAGGGAGAAAACATTTGTCTGAAGCACAAACATTGGTACAGATATGTTTAGCTCAGCGCTCGATTTCTGAGATGTAAATACAACAAAAATAAAATATTTGTAATTTTTTTAAGCATGTGACGTTCTTGGTTAGGCAGTTTTTCCTGCTGTCATCCCCCACTCGGTAGGACTATTCCATTTCATCCTCTGCATTACTGTTTTTAATCAATGCTTTTGATTGCATGATGCACCGATTTAATTTAAGCAATGACAGCTTTTTGATAGTGAATATCAAAATCTGAATTGTGTGTTATAGTTGGTATCCTTATCAAGTTGAATTATATAAATACATTCTTTGCTTTGCTACCCGTGCAGGTAAATAATTACATTTGATGTCTAAATTTTTACATCAGCTACTGGTCTGGACATGGTAAGAAAGACATTAAGAACGATGGAATTTCCCTACTGAATAAGTGACATTGCGTTAGATCAGGGTTTCCCAAAGTGGGGGTTGGGACCCAAGTGGAGGTCATGGGCTGAAATTTTAGAATTGCAAGCTCTGAGGACATTGTGGAGCTCTAATCAAGGTTTAAAAGCTATACACTCTCTCAAACAGCACCTCTGAGGTCCAAAGTCTTCAAACGTTTTCCAAACAGTTGGATCTCCTAGAGGTCCAAACCCTTTCATTGAGAGGGTCATGATAATTTTTAAGCTTCAAAGTGAGAAAACGTTTGGAATGCACTGTATTAAATGTTGGAATTCTAAAACAGCAACTGGAGAAACTGAGATTCCTTTTCAGTGGAAGATGATATCCAAGCAATTATTTTATAGAGGCATAGAAGGCAGTACAGAACAACTAAATTTGAAAATTATAATAATTTAAATTGCAACAATCAGAAAAAGGATCAGGGTTAGGGTTAAGATTAGATTTAGGATGCAAATCAATATTTGTGAAAAGTGAACTGATAACAAAGATCTTCATCAAGGAATAAAGGTCTTGATTAAAGACTGGAAAATGCCAGAACCATCTTAACATCTGTCAAAGCGAAAATGCCGGAATCTACTACTGAGTACAGGTACTTCTGCTATAACGCGTGTTTCATTAATGTGAATTGGCTGTAATTTGATTAATGAATAGTGGATGCTGTTTGGATAACACAAACTTTCTGCTGTGCAGGTATAGTGATTTTCTATAACAATTTCCCTAGAACATGACTTTTAATGGCAATTTTCTATAACGCGAGGTCAGACAAGAATGCAACTATCGCATTATAGGAGAAATACCTGTAGCTTATAGCAGGACTCTTAGAACATCTGAATGCAATCAGGCAGAGTCTTGTGAAAGGGGAGTCATGGAGCCCTCTTTTGGCACAGTGGTCATGTCCCTACTCTTGGACCAAGAGACTCGGATTCAAGTTTAACCTTCTCCAGAGGTGTGTAATAACACCTCTGAACAAGTTGATTAGAAAAATAGGTGAAAGGAAAGTCATGTTTGACTAATTCATTAGAATTTCTTGAGTAAGTAACAAGCAACAAAAATAAATAAAAGGGAAACCAGTCAATGTACTGCACTGAAATGTCCAGAAGACATCTGACAAGGAGTCATATGAAAGATTGCTGTGCAAAGTACGAGTTCTTGGTGTTGGGGGTCAGTTATTAGCAAGGACAGAAGTTGTGATAACTAATACAAAACAGAAGGTGAGTGTAAACAGATCCTTTTAGCTTAGCAGGATGTGACAATTGTGTGCCATAGGATCAGTGTTGGGACCTCAATTATTTGCAATCTATATGAATGGACTTTGATTAAAGTGAATTAGTGCATCATCAGCAAACTTAGCAACAATACAAAGATAGTAAAATAGAAAGTAAGTTGTGAAGAGGACATGCAGATTAACAAGAGAGTTAAAGTTAAGTTAAAGTTAAAGTTATTATGTGTAGGCAGAAATTTGGATTTGAGGCCACAATCAGATCACGTTTGATCTTATTAAATGGCAGAGCAGGCCAGAGAAGCTGAATGGCCTATTTCCACTCCTAATTCATATTTTTCATCCTTAAAGCAGTTAGATGCCTAGTTGCGATCAGTGTAATGATACTTGTTTGCATTTGCAAGAAATTTGCAGACTAAAGTCATAAAAATACAGCAGTACAAACAATTTTAATGAACATGACATCATGAGACACCCCACTCCAGCAAAGTCTAGACCAATATAATCCAAAGTACTTTCTTCAAAGAAGTTTACTAGTATTTTAATATGTATTTGATTTATAATTGCCATAAGTAGTCTTAGGTGAATTGAGGCAAGGTCATTTGTATTTTCCTTTTTTCGTCATCACTCTAGTATGTACAATCTTCATTTGATAATTTCCAGTTCTCACAAATTTCACTAAACATTTTACGTTTAAAATAAAAATGAGGAGTCAAGAATAGCATTCAGTAAAGTATTCCAGCTTCCCTTTTTATTTTTGGGCCTTAACTACATTCAGTCCTCAGCACAGTTAATCAAATCTGATTTGGAATCCAATTTCAAGCCTGACCTGAGTTAAAATTATTCATCAGTACCATTTTGTTTTCAAGACACCTGCATGATTTTCTCTTCTGCATTTTGTCAGACTAAGCTGATTAATCTGACAAATCAGAACAGAGGAACTTCAGCTCTGTTGAATCAGATCTAAATTATCACATGCTGGTCCTGTGCACTTTCCACATCCAGATCGTTCTGTCCACTTACCTTGAGTGATATTTTCCTTGCTTCACCTTTTGATCATTCTGGAACCTCATGTTTTCTAATTTGACTGGACTCGGGATGAAACCTATTTCACAGCCTTCCTTAACCAGCCGTCCTATCCACCAATCATTGCTAAATTTCTAAACATGGGCAAAACGAAAGAAAAAAGTAAATACATATATTCACACATTGATTAAGACAAATTTTGTTAAATGCTACAATGTGTATCAAACCTACTTCTTTGACATGTAGGAAATCCTTTGGTTCAAATGAGATAGCCATGCCTGGGACAGGGACATCATTATCCAGTGCTGCACTATAGCCAACATTTGTCCGTACTGCGAATGCAACAGGTTTAGTCTGCCAGGAGAAAAAAAAAAACAAGATCTTTTTGAATTAAAAACCGAAAGAACTGCGGATGCTGTAAATCAGGGACAAAAACAAAGTTGCTGGTAAAGCTAAGCAGGTCTAGCAGCATCTGTGAAGGAAAGACAGAGTTAACGTTTCAGGTCCGCTTCTGAAGAAGGGTCACCAGTCCCGAAACGTTAACTCTGTTTTTTCCTTCACAAATGCTGCCAGACCTGCTGGGCTTTTCCAACAACTTTGTTTTTGTAAATTTTTTGAATTAAATGTTTCTGATTTACTGAGACCATAGACAACTTTGTAGGCGTTCAATGTTCGGCTGATGCCCTTCAAGAGAATCTCTCTATTGGTGCACTAAGCATTGCATTTACCACATCTCAAACTTGCTTCCTAATAAGAGTTTAACATTATGCCACAGCGTGTATAAACTGCCTCAAACAGCACGGAACAGATTCAATTGCAATCCATTTCTGCAGTCTGGATTTGATTTGCACAATGGAAGCCAACTTCATCAAACACAAAAGTATTCAAAATTGTCTGCGCTCACTTTTGATTTTTGGAATTAAATTCAAGCAATTTTCCAATGTCAAAAATAAAAGCAAAGTTTACTTTTTGCTGTCCAGCATCCAGAGGCACCTGGTTCTCAATAATATTACGCCTTTTCATTATCAAAAATATACCTAAAATAGTTGCCAGAGCTGTGTTTTCTCAGCAATTGAAGACGGATTGTTGTGCAACTGGACAATCTTCAATATAGTATATTGGCTTTCAACAAGAGTCCTTTTCTAGCTAGAATCATGGCACTAAAGCATAGTCCTTCTCAGGAAGCTTTGATGAGACACATTCGTCTGTGCCTCCAGCAAGGAGCCTCATGACATACAAGTTATAGATGGAGTTGGAGATAAAACAGTGTGATGCAGACCTCCAACCTGTAAACAATCTGGTTAAGTGCTCTCCTGCAAGTGCAAGGTAAGAGAATGAAAACACATACTTCGGAGGAGATTTACATTTTTCCTCATAATGTGATTTGATCATTTCAAAGCTAAAAACATCTGATCTAAAACGACCGAATATCACACCACTTCCCTACCATTAATTGGAAACTACCATGTGTTTAAATATGCACTTAGTTTGATGAGCTACTGAAAAGAAACATTAATGAAGTGTTCAAATGATGTGTAATCTGCCACACGAATCTAATTCCTAATGCCTCACCCACTTTGATAATGAAAATTATTTCCTGCACATTTAATGGGTTTTTATTAAAGCAACAGATGAGAACAGCAAAGATATACTAATGAACTTAATGAGACAACAGTTTGGTTACAATCAGAATCTTAAACATCCCATAATAGGAAGAGCAACAATGCCTTCAAGCGGAGAGCAAACCTTAGATGCAAATGTGTTACTGGTATTATTTTTGTCAGATTAGAACAAATGGGTGAAAAGATGTAGTTTTAAAAAAGAAAATTATAAAAGATTTTGATAGCATAGATAAGGAAAGCCTACTTCCTCTTTCTGAGAGTCAAAGCAAGGCTTGCATTTTTCACTGAGAAAGAGGGAAAAGAGGCCAGAAGAAATTTACTTCTACTGAGTTGTTAGAGGAATCATTGTTGACAGTAGCTGAAACAGAAATCTATATTTTCTAATCAATCTGTTCAGGATTGTCATTACACGTCTCTGGAACAGCTGGGACTTTATCCCAGGTCTCCAGGCTCAAAGGTAGGGACATTGCCATTGCACCTCAGGAACCACAGTGATTCAAAAGTGGGACAAATATTCAAAGCTCAACAATGGGGGATAAGAAGCAAAGGGATTAGTTCATAAAAAGAGCATACGATTATGATCAGCTAAATTCCTTCCTTCTATGAGGTGAAACAAAGTAGTTCTAAGGTGTTTATAACAGTATGGCTTTGGTAGAATTAGAAGTACCAGTTTGGAGTACAATCTCAAACCTCATAACTCAGAGAAGCCTATCGAGAATAGGCACCAGTACAATACACAATATGGGATTTCAGTTTAAATGCTCGGTCTCAGGGGTCCAGCTGAATCTGGATAAACACAGCCACTTTGCCAAGAAAATATCATTCAAGCATTAAAATTTGTGACTTCTACTTAGCAACGGTAAATTGGCAAATCTTGTTGGAACAACCCATTTAACTCCTTGCTTAAACCACTGAACCCAAGAAAGAAACAATGGAAAGCAGTATATAGAAAGAATTCACCTGAGGGTGAATTGTGCTATCACTGTGTAACATTAAGCGTGGTTTTCCCTGAAAACCATTTTTGTGTAAAGTTATACTAAGAACAGTGACAACACTTAACAGGACTGTAATGGGAAGCAGTTTGTTTAATGGAATCTTACATATGAATTGAGTAGGAGTTAGCATAGAGGTAACAATGGAAATTTATATTTTGGGTACAAGATTAAACTGTCCTGCATGAGAAAATTTCTGTGACCTGGGACCCATCCAAACTTAATCCAAAGACTTGAAAGTCAGCTATCTTCTCAATCTATTATTCTGATGTGAACAAAAGAAGTGCGTTCAGCTCCTATCCATGTTCACAATTCTGGTTTATCTTGGCAATGTTTACAACTCTCATCAGGTACCCACTGATACCTGGCTAATGAGAGTTCCTGAACAATGTTATATTTTTAATAGAGGTCTCAAAATTAAAATAAGATTTAAATGATTAAAATGTTCTGTGATAGAAAGATCGAACCATGAGGGAGTTAATGAGTTAGACTGCTTTTTTACGATTAATCCTGTTGAAAGCTCATTGATGAATATGACTGTTTGAGAAAACACGTCCTATTCTACAAGCCAAAGAAGTTACAAGAAAAATGGTTAAAACAAATATATACAAATATAGTAATATTATACGATGGAATTGTAGGACCACCTTCACCATAGCCTACAGCACTTGATACAGGAAACTGACATTGGAAGTGCACCAGGAATACTGGGGCAATCAACAGGCATCTTTTCATCAATATTTGCATTACAAAAATGAAGTTAAAAAAACATATACATGCAAAGTTCAATATGCCATGGAGCAGGAGCTTTGTAAGCATCATGTTGCCCTCAATCACAGCAAAGAAGAATAACTGGAGGTTCATTCCAACAGCTAGTTATCTGCTGGCTCCTTTTTAAGGTACAGTACCTGGTACTGTGGGGTGAGGGAGGAGAACCAGTTTCATGAAATACACACACTGATTTTCCATTCTCATTCAAAGTCCTTCGCTTCCTGTTCTTATTATTTGAAGATACACATTGTGGGATGGAGTTCAATACACATACGTTCAACATGGCATTCCTCACATTTAAGCTTTGAGTTGTCAACTTACTTGCTTAACATCCAACACTGGATTGGCTGCAACTTCATCCAGTTAAACACTGGGAACAGTAATGCCACCGTCACTTGCACCATTAACTCCACACTGATTTATTCTCCTCTCTCTGACCAATGACGCAGGTTGAAGCAGACTTTTCACAACTTTTCTGTCCCACCTGATGATGAATGAAGCTTCTTCTCCAATATGAAGACTACATATTTTCACCTCGTAACCTTGTCTGCCTCCTTTCTTGGCTCAGTCAATTCAGTTGTTGCTGAAAGTTCTGCAGTATGCCCCACTAGTGCCTCTCTATACACTCAATCGCTCGCTTCCTGTTTAAGAACTCTGTCACCTCAGACCAGGTTTTTGGTCATGCCTTATCAAGCATTTAACTCTATCTTTGGATCAGTGTTCATTTTTAATCAAATTATGTATCTCAGAAGCATCTTGTTAAAATTCATTCACTTTATTGTAAATATAGTCAAATAGAAGCAAACCAAAAATCAGGATAATAGAAAAAGCTACTGCCCCAATCCTCTACTAATACAATGCACAGATTAAAGTCAGCACAGGTTCAGCTTTATCGCACAACTCCTAAAATAATCGAGAGAATACTTTCAAGAATAAGTTTTGTTCAACTTTTATTTCCCTTTGCAAATGACATGATTCATTTAATTGTACTGTTTGATGAGGCAATTCATCTCAACATTAGAAACCTAGAAGGAAAGAGCATAGAAGCTGACCATTCAACCCATCATGACTGTTTGAAAGAGCTATTTAATTAGTTTGCATGACTGCTCTGTCCCCACAACTCTGTAAACATTTTCCCTGTTCAAGTACTTATTTAATTCCCTTTTAAAAGTTAGTATTGATCTTTTAATGTATTTTTCAGGCAGTACATTTCAGGTCATAACTTGCTACGTAAATTGTTTTCACTTTGTGAATCTTGCCATTCACCTGAAATCTGTGAAGTCCAGTTTGTGATCCGTATTGCTACTGGGAGCAGTTTATTCATAAATATAAGCAAAATACTGCAGATGCTGGAAATCTGAGATAAAAACAGAAAGCATTAGTGAAACTGACAAGGTCTAGCAGCATCTGTGAAGAGAGAAATACACAATTAATGTTGAGCCCGAAGAGTTACATTGGACTCGAAATGTTAACTGCTTTCTCTGTCCACAGATGCTGCCAGACTTGCTGCATTTCTCGAGCACTTTGTTTTTTTTATTTCAGATTATTCATAAAACCATTTCTGACTGTAAGCACCTCTCCCAAAATTCATCACAACCTTCTCTGCTTCGAAGACAGTAATTGCAGTTTCTCTGACATTACAAATCTCTTGTATGGTAGTAACAAATCTCTTCAGCATCCAAGACTTAGCATCCTTGCAAAAGTGTTGCGCCGAAATACTCAATACTCCAGCCAAGGCCTAACCAGCGCACATCAGAAGGACCAGATAGATGCACAAAATAAATAACAGAAGACTTAAGTGAAGTGCGCTTAGAGTCATAGAGTCATAGAGCTGTACAGTATGGAAACAGACACTTCAGACCAACTCGTTCTTGCCAGCCAGATATGCTAAATTGCCAGCATTTGGCCCATATTCCTCTAAACCCTTCCTATTCATATACCCATCCACATACCTCTTAAACATTGTAAC